TGACCTTTATCATTGAAAAGAAATGTTAAATTAAAACTACCTTCTACCATTGGTTGGACCTTCCGTCGCCTCCTTTGAGCAACCATAGCCTGTTTAAATTCAGATGCAGCTAAAACTTTTTTTTGTTTAGGTAATGCAGCCTCGATGCTGTGAAGCAGGCCATTTGCTGCTGATATGGCTGCTTGTGTCTGCATTCTGAAGTGAAAACTTTAATATTAAGGTTCCTTCACTTGAAATAGAAACATATCACTAAATACAGATCAACAACAAACAATTTCATGAACAAGAAATATGTGAACACTAGTATGTTCTTAATGTCAGTAAATTAGGTTATCTATAAGATCTTTTGATTCAGGGACCTGAAAGGCTCAAAGTAGAAAGGATTGGATCTCTCCTTCAACATGGCATGGCTCCATCAAGCCCTTATTACCAGCAAATGCTTATCATTAGGAAAGCAGAAAAAAGATGAAAATGTAGTAGCTAGTGTGTCTTCTATTAAGGTTAACCAACACGTTAGCACAAGTGCTAAGCCCCACGGAAAGTGTTGATCAACTATATTTTTAATTTCTAAACTTGCAAATTTTAGTAAATGCTTCTCTAGTTCTATGCACACCGGAAACTTCGATTCTCAAATGTAATAATCAACAATTCGCTAGTGAGTGAAAAGGAACATATATCAATCAGTAATTAAACATTCTAAATCCTATTAATCCATCAGTCAATTATGCTGCAATTCCCAATTAATTAAGCTAACTACATGAAATCCTCTTTGTTTATAGATAAACTAATTTTACACTGTTTTCCAATCTACCTTGGACGAACTATCCTTTATATACACGGAGTTAAATTTCTATTAATCGAATCAAAGAAAATACAAGGACAAACCTATTAACTATTCAGGTAGATTATGCAGTAGTAATTTCTAATAAAAATCGAAGGAGGAGGAGGAGTGACTTACTGAGGGAGGAGGCGAAAGGCGGCGAGGGAATCCTGAAAGATGAGAGATTGCAAATTTTTGGGAACTTTAGAATATGCATTTCTTAGAATACAGCTTAGCTCTTCACAAGCAATTGGGTAATGATAGGCTCGACTCAACGACTCCTTTAACCCTAGCTTTTCATACCTCTCCACCATTAAACCTCCCATCTCTACTCTAAGATCCAAGCCCACACATGTTTGCTGTGTGTTTCAATGGCCGATTGAAGATCCAAATATGTATGTGTGTGTTGCGTAAAGAGGAGATGGTCGGTTTTTCTGGTTTCGATTTTTTGTGCTCTTCTCCGGATTCCTGACTTTGATTGTCATTAACATGTCAAATTATTGGGAAAATTGCTATACTAATTAGTACTGTAGTATTAACCATCCGCTTAAAGTCTAGTATGGTAATTTAGAAAATACAGTATAATACTACTATAATAGTTTGATTTTCATGATAATGTAATACTCCATACATTTTTTTAGTTTATGTAGCCCTATTTATTTCAATCTGTTTTAAAAAAATAATTTCTTTTTAAATTTAAAAAAATAATTTTTATTTTTAATGAGAAAGTTTTATAATCACACAAATATTATAATATTGTTATAAATATATTATATTATGAATGTTCATTTAGTACTCCGTTGTAAATAAGCTTCCTGAAGAAGCTTATCCATATGGGACTCCACCGTAAATATGTTTATCTATTTAGTACTATATTGGAAGCTTCTTCAGGAAGCTTATCACTTCGGTACCCAGTTATGGATAAACATTATCCCCGCTAGAAAATTATCCATCCGGGTATAATGAGCTTATCTTTTCAGTACCCGGTTAT